TTTTTTTTTTTTTTTTTTTTTTTTTTTTTTTTTTTTTTTTTTTTTTTTTTTTTTCGTAAGACGAAAAATACAACAAACAAAGCAGACCGATTCCATTTTATAAATTAATAATTGGCCAATTTTTTGAAGACAACGGATTATCGAAAGGTTGGACATACTACACACGCGAAAGAGTTCCAAATGCCGTTCTTCGTTCTGGCACTTCATTTTTTCAGTAAAACACCTCGAACTACATAGCGAAGATTTACCGTTGCTCAGTGATTTTTTATCAATCAGATTCAGAGTATAAAGTTGCTCCGTGCCCATTGCCTTGAGTTTCCAGTCAGTATATATTCGAGACACCATCATGATAAACTCCCAAGAAAATCACTTTGACGATAGTTTTTGTCTCTTCATATAATTTTTAATTAATAATTTTAACAATTTAAACAGATTAATCTCACACGTGTCAATTAACGTCACGTGTTGAGCTTTTTATTATTCGGTGAAAGGGACCATGTGGGAAGACAATACATTAGCATTAAATTGCGAAACTGCGGATCAAACGCACGCATCATTGCACCATCGCCATCCTTTGATTTTCCGTGAATCTATATACATATATATGATACGCGATAAAAAATGCCTATATAAAGAGCTAAAAGCCAGGACTCTGTATATTACCAAAGAAGTCGACGGACGCGCGTTGCGTCACTTCTCTGTGGTGTCCCTCAGCTCCGAGAAGGCGAGAGTCAAGGTCTGCGCGGGAATCGATTTGATCATCAACGCGTTTGCAATAAAAAAAAAAAAAAAAAATTAAGTATGCTATATGGCCAAACGACTTTTGTCCTGCTCGTAATAGGCACACATGTATACATGTATATATGTGTCGTGACCGCCATTCTGCGTAGGTATTATAGATACGGCTTTTTGTGCGGAAGCGTTTTTATAACATTTGTTGTTTCGAAAGAGACGATCTTCGTCAGTACGAGTCCCCCGATGCTCGACGATTTCGGTAAACGAGCCGATGACATTATATACGTATACATGCCTATGTACACACAAGACACGGGATGGCTTGCGAAACCGATGTAGATAAACGATGGCCGATTTAATGCGCGCATATATACATCGCACCACCTCCCGCGTGCTACAGTTGTCTCGGGTACCTTAATGCCCCGCGTGCAGGTATATACACACGACTCTCTTATCTCGATCCCGATTGCGAAATGTAAATAAAATTTTTAATCTCGTGTGTGTGTGTCTGTATACGTACGCGGTCGGCGATGAAACAGCGATATCTGTCGCGGCCGGGGGTGATGAAAAACAAAATTTCGTGAAAACATCGGACAGTTTTCACTAAACCAGCGGAAAATGTTTTTATGTATATACAATCAGTTTACGAATGGAAATAATGTTGTCGCTGAATGTCGCTGACGAAAAAAAAATGATTCGACCTTATCGCAAGGAATTAGGCTCACCCACGTACTCGCAAGAGATTCGAGACGATCAGCCCCGTGACAGTTGGGTGAGATCACGGCTATAACTCGCTACCCGAGTGTATTACGGTACAAACCCGATTTTTTTTTTTTTTTTTTTTTTTTTTTTGCCATATAAGTATACTATTGGTGATTCTAGGGGGGTGGAGGTGTAAAAACACCCTTTTCATTAGCAAAGAGGCAACAGTACAGTATGTCGGTCGTTCAATTCCAAAGGTATATAATAACAAGGGGTGCTATCACTCGTCTCGTGCGCCAAATTATATCGCAGAATAGAGTATACACGCACGCGTGACTCGGCCGCGCCTTGTAATAAATATACTTTCGGGGGAGTTTGTGTTTCGGTGACGCATGTGTATACACGTACATGCCTTTTTACCCTAATGGCCTCCCTTGACGACTTGACCTCCCTACCCCCGAAAAAAAAAAAAACACACGCACACAAAAATGATTCCCCATCTTTTATTCCACTTCTGATAACGAAACAATCGAAGCTTCGTGCCTTGCTTATTCTTTGCGTGGGTTAATACAAAAAAAAAAAATAATAATAATAATAATAATAAGTCTCTTTGAGTTTATTCCACGCGTCAATTTATCGATGTAACTTATGTATACGTATACAATTTCGATGCGACGATACGGATTATTTGGCCTATCTGCGGTGCGAGTGAAGGGAACAGGTGCGTTGTATCGTATTGATTTATTTACTCGCGCTATACATCGCGTATTGTATTATTGTGGATAGAAAAAAGTTAAAAAAAAAAAAAAAAAACTTTTGCCAATGAATTTGAAAAACGACTTACGAATTTCGGTGCTTCGACGAAATAAAGTTTCAAAAGCTCCGGAGATCGTCAAGTGGACGTTGCGTTGAAAAAAAAAAATAAATAAATTCCAGATGAGCAAAAAAATATTTGGTAGAACCAACTCGCGTGACGAAATTGTACTTGAAGAAAAGAAAGTTCTTGAAAGATCAATCGTACATGTGATTGATCGAAACTACCGTGTTACACTTTACAACCCTACTTATAACCCGTGAGATCAAGTTCTCTCCCCTATTTTTAAAATTACATTTCCCCCATAAGACCGAATATTGTCCACTCGTATTCCCCAAATCCAGTCCATATAGTACGAAACAAAGAATTATTTTGAAATCCCAAAAATGGAAAAAAAAAAAAAAAGATTGCGAGTATGATAACACAGCATATATAAGTACATATTCATGCTTACACTTGTGTAAAGCTTTAAGGATACAAGTCTCGGAGACTCTTGTGGCGAGGTAATTGTCACGTAAGCAGCAGCCGATACTAAAAAAAAAAAAAAAAAAAAAAAAAAAACAACCACGCGGATTTGTTTTATGTTTCAGAAGCGGCCGTTGCCAAAGTGGTGGTAATAACAATAAAAGTAGTAATCAGCACTAATAGTAAAGAAAACCAGGAAATCACGACGGACGGCCACGCGGAGGATGACTCGAGGCTCGTGATCTCGGCCTGGGAGATCGGCAGGGCAATCGGCACCTGTACCAGAAGCAACAGTAGCAGCAGCCTCGGTAGCCGTAGTCGTAGCAGCCTCGGCGCGGGCAGTAGTCGGGAGAGCAGCAGCTGTAAGATCGTCGCCGAGAAAAAAGAGGAGAAGCGGAAGAAGCGGGGAAGGAGAAAAGCCGGGCAGTACTACCGGTTGCAGCGTAGGCGAGCTCGATCGGGCGTCGCATCGGGGGGCTCATTCGCGGGGCCAGGAGGAGCCGTGGAACGACTCGGGGACAGCTGCAGCAGCAGTGGCAGCAGCAGCAGCGTCGCCGCCTGCATCACCAGGCCCCGGCGAGGCTGCACCGCTGGGCCTACGGGCGCGCGCTGGTGGCGGGGCAGACGCCGCAAACGCAGACGACTCGCCTACCACGAGGGTAACGAACCTTTGCATCTCTCTCTCTCTCTCTCTCTCTCTCTTTTACCCAGTCCAAAATTACGTATTTATATTCATGTCGAGTCATTAAAATGTATTTGCCGTGGCCTGATTCAACATAAAATTTGTTTACCGATGATGATTTTATCATTGACTATTTAATTGAAGTTTGTAGTCGTCGGTCGCGTGCGAGAGAAAAATATCAAGGTCACAAAAATTGTAGGTAAAAATTACCCCTGGGCTTGGGTGCAGAGCAAAGAGAGTGTCCATATGTAGGGAAAAAAAAAAAGGGAAAAACGTGTACTGTTTGACGCAGGCAAGCGCAGGTGACGCGGATTGACGGTCGGTGGTGGCGGCGGAAAAGGAGCCGGCGAAAGGGTCGAGGGCGTCAGGATGTTCAGCGGGGCGATATGCAGGCGGGCCAATTGGCTGCTGAGGCTGTCGATAGTGTTGAACGTGTGCGTGGTGCTGTTGTTCGTGGGCACGCACTTTAGGTCGTCGGGGCCGTGGGTCGAGGAGCCGCCGGCAGGTTGGGCCGGCTCGACCCAGGACGCGCTCCTGGGCACGGCCATGAGGCCCGGCGCCACGGGCACCAGCGGCAGTAGCGTCACGGCCGAGACGAGCAAGACCGATGGCGCCAGGACCAAGACCTCGCTGTCCTCCTTGGCGACGTCCTCCTCCTTGGCATCATCCTCGTCGTCCTTGGCTGCCCAGGTCGAAGCTAACAGGACCAAACTCGCGTCCGCGGAGACTGCCAGCGAGGTGGACCGAGCGAAAGCCAACCAGACGGTGAGGAAAGAGTTTTTTTTTTTTTTTTTTCGTGAAAGCTCGTGATTGCATGTACCTACTTTTGGCATGAAAAAAAAAAAAGTTGGCGCCGTATACGCACACGGTATTTGAATAATGTAAAATTGTTCGGCACGAGTTTCCTCGTACACACACGGGAGCATTGCACTCGCTTGTTGTTTGTAAATAACAAAAAGAAGTTTCTGCAAACTGGGCGTGTTCGGTTAATAAGTACACCAATCTATATTCCTCTCGAAATAGTAAAAACAAAAAAGGTTTCTCTTGTAAATGACTCCTGGTTTCAAACTGTGCGGTGCATGCAAATTTTTACAAAATTTACGAAAATGCGTCACCGAGAGCTCAATAAACAATCAAATCGATCGACTATTTGGCCAAGCCTATATGATGGATGAAAATTTGAACAGAACAAAAAGAATGGCCATTGCAGTAGACGAGAAATATGAAAATTCGTTAGATTGTTAAATTTGTTGGAAATGTAATTTGTAATGAAACCATATCTGACGAGAACGATTGTGGATTATTCCGTCGCAGGCGAACCAGAAACCCGAGCTCACGCTGCAAGAGGCGATTGAGTGCAACGACAAGCCCTTGAATCGGAAAACGTCCCAGCGCGGCGACTACTGGGTGCTCTACAACTACGTGCCGATGAGCGAAAAGGTACGCACACCGACGTTCTTCCATTATCTTTTTTTTTTTTTTTTTATATAACCCATCCAGAGACGTTAAAAAAAAAAAAAAAAAACTTTCAGCCTCACTGCTGGGAAAGCGTCACGTACACGACGCACGCCGACTACACGTTTCTGGACAACCTGGAGCCGTTGCTGGACAGGTGGCGGGCACCGATCTCCATAGCCCTCCACGCGCCCGGCGGCGATTTCCCGCCCACCATCGAGGCTATCAAGTACGCGCGTACCTGCGCCGGTCCGCTCGTCTCGCGCTACGTCACCTTTCACGTCTACTTCAGCAGCAAGCACATGCCCAAATACGTGAGCATACGCATTACTATCATTACTTAATCGTGTGCCTGTGTATATATATATGTATAAAATTTATGGGCGCGGAAACACACCCCCCTACAATCAGCGACAAAGCAAGTGTACGCCTTCAATTCCATATTTCCTCGGTCGACTCCTATATACTTGGTCAATGGATTACACGCAGGGGCTTGGTATAAACAACGCACTCAAACTCGCGGTCCATGCCCGTTTGTTTGTATATATTTCACGTGTGATTAATTATATAGATATGAGAGAAGGGGAGCTTTTGTAACGCGTATACGTAAATTTATGCAGAGAGAGAGAGAGAGAGAGAGAGATGTACGTAGCGCGCGATCGAGGTCGACGATCTCGCTCGCTCTTCCCCCGATCCCCCGTATTATCGTATCATCTGCAGTCCGTCTTGATTTGTTGTTTCGTTGCCATGTACATTATAGGCACTTGCTCGTCTCGCGCGTGTGTGCAAGTACTATGTGGATCAGAGTGTTAATTGAACGCTTTTGCGCGCTCTGCTTGTTTTTTAGGAAAAGACGAGACAAATTTCCTCTTTTTTTTTTTTTTTCCTCCAATCAGGATGCATACGAGTACGTATACGCATACGGAAAATGTGTGTCGTTACGCTCGTCTCTTTGGGCTTGACGATTCCTTCCAAAGTTTCGAAAGTGTGTATATATAATATGAGCCCGTCAAATTAAACGTACGTGTATAAGGTATACATCTCTTTTCAAATATATAGTATATAATACGTAGTATGTGTGTTAAATGTGATGCTTCGAGTATGAAAAACCTCCATCTCAAACTTGGTCCTTCTCCCGTCACGTCGTCAGAGTCACTCCTCTACTCCCGCAATTTTGGCCCTTGTGATATTATCGTGTCGAGGACGCGTCTCGATTTCTCGATCATCCGAAGAGCGCGTCTCGTCGCCGGAACATTTCATGCACTTTAACTGTTATAAAGTAGGCGTGTGTGTAAAAGGGTGATTGTCAAGCAAACGGCTCCTCCTCTCTTTTATCTATATGTGCGTAAGTACAGGCACACGAGAGAGCGCCTACTTTTACTTATAGGTGTACTCTCTCGCGGGGAAGAATGTGTATATATATTTCAGCTGTATAGGTACATTGAGGTGAGATGATAACGTGGCGTATACATTTACGAGGCAATTAGTCCACATCCGCGTCCCAACGAGACAATGGAGGAGAGATTTCTCTCGTAGAGGGAAAAGAGGATAAAATATGGCTTTATTGATTTATGGGACGATCATCTTGGAGGAGAAAGAAACATTATCCTGTATTATTACGAGCACTACTTGCCTTCCATATGTATATATATATATATTTTACCAAGTTTTTCACCCTTTTTGCAAAAAGTGATGGATCAATGAAGATACATAGAATCGTTTGTCGGCTCGCAATGAATGATTTAAAATGAATTAGGTACTTTGTCGATTTATCGGCCGATTCAGGAAAACCGATCGCGCATGTATAGGGTATAGGATCTCGTTCGCCTTGTCTCGCGTCTTCTCGACGTAAAAGCCGATCAGAAAATCGTGGGCTCTTTTCTCTCCATAAACGCCATCAGAGGGAGATCGAGTCGGGGCACCAAGTGCTCCCGATCCAGTTTCCCCGTCACCTGTACTTATATGTATATACCCACTTCCCTTTTATGCTACACTTGTAGAAATAAAGTCGTAAAGGACGAGCAACTCCGTTAAAAAAAAAAAAAAAAAAAAAAGGTCAATCGCACGTACGTGGAGGATGATGGGAGATGAGGTGGGGGGAGGTTCGTTTTTCCATGACCTCGATCATCGATCCAACGCGAACAAATAGTCGGAGAGAAACTGCAGATGCTGTCGTGATTTTTTTTTTTAATGCATAGGATACTCGTGCGTCATACGGGCGACTGAAACGTTAAAATACTTAGTTTGGCTGTTTTGTAATTATGAATGTCGTTGTTTTTTTTTTTTTTTTTTTAAATCATGCATATCAGTCAATTAATGCAAAAAGTTGCCCATTAGATCTTTTTATCAATATTTCTTAAAATACGAATCGTAATCAAAAAAAAATTTTAATATATTAATGGCTGTTATTAAAAAAAAAACATCTTTGAATTTGTATTTTGATATTATATTATGTTTACCGAATCAGTGGCAGAAGTAATAATTTATATCCTTCGCCTCCTTTTCCCTCGGATGTTCACAAAAGTGCAGATATATCATTTTATCGAGGTATCTATTGTTCTTTCTACCGCACAGTAGGTCAACTCTGTTATTATTTCCCTCTGGTGCTCTTTTTCTTTTTCATTCGCATAGCAAACCCAAAATATATATATATACATAATTAGGAGGATCAAGTGCGCTCGCACGGCGTGAAATTCTTTTTTTTTTTTTTTTTTTTTTTCACGAGTTTGTCTTTTTTTTCTTCGCATAAGCATTATGATTGGCACGTACGGAATTTGAGATGTAAAATGTCTATTGTACTTAATTAAAAAAAAAAAAATCCTTTTGTGCGTACTGTTGGAACAATAGCGTTAAAAAAAAAAAAAAAAAAAACAGAGCCACAGATGAACCACACAGTCCCTTGCATTGTTTCTCGCGAAACTGGGTTGAAAAAAACAAAAACAAATGTGCATACGTATAATATATACACGCTGATTAACGCGTTTGTCGCTAAACGAGAGTATTATGCCCTTTTCAACGGTGCTGTATTTCTAGAATTACGTAATAATCCGTGGAAAAAAAACATTTGTTCTTTCCACTCAAGACAGAAGGGGAAAGTTTATTCGTGACTCTCGTTGAGGAAAGAAAGAAAGAGGGTGTAAAACGGCACTTGTACCAGGTGAAAATTGAATGTTTCACCACGTCGCTAATTGTTGTTTTCGCAGCGCCGAATAACTCTCACTTCGTCTCACCGGTGCATTTGACATTTTGTAACGAGCGCGCTTGCGCACCCTTTGGGAGTATTTGGAGAGTCTCTGAAACTCTGCTAGGAAATTTTAAATAATCGCACGTTGTAAATGCTCTTATCATCGAACAATAATCATGTAACGGAGGATTTATAATCTCGTTTGTTAAAAAACGGAAGAGAAAATAAAATAAATTGTTTCACACGTTTGGTCAATTTTATTCGTCATGCGATTTTTTTTTTTTCATTATAGTTCTTCAAATTATCATTGATTTCATCATGAATCGATTGTTTTGTTTGAAAAAAAATTCATCTCGATGATCTGTCCTTATTTTGGTTAACCGATGTAATTCATCTGTACGCAAAAGTGCGTAACTAAACAGAGGCAATAAGTCGTCTTTAAATTATGTATCGATCATTGTTACAATACAAAGTATACTCAAAATACAATATTGTACAAGACGAACAAACAACGAAACATCAAATCGGTTCAGCGAGAAATTTTCAGTCAATTTTGCAATGTTGACCAATCAAAAATTAACAACATCAGCAAGAGAAAGACAAGTTACTCTGTATCCCTCGAAGTTGCAATAAATAGGCAGTGACTCGGCAAAGCCGATTATTAAAGTTGCATCAGCACGAAATCGGTGCCTCCTGCAAACGATGACGAGAAAACTCAAATCTATACGTACATATAATAAGTGTGTGTGCAATATTGCATGGGGAAGACATTCGCAACAATGACTATATACCCAACGGGAGCCAACGACGACAGTTTTTTCCGTAATCGTCGATCGTTATATATATATGTTAAGTAACGCCGATCGTAATTCATCGAACGGGCTCCACGTGAACTTTTTTTGCTCTTGCGGTTGGAATAACGATTTTTTTTTTTTTTTTTTTTCAACCGGTAGTTTTGATGCGTAATACGGTCGGACTTGGGAGTAATAAATCCACTTTATTCGTTGGCATAACAGCCTTATTTTTATTTACGTAACAATACAAGCCCACAGTCTTTGTTGAACGCACGTACGGGTACGAGATCGGTAATTTTCAAAATCTGTTCTGTACAAAAGATCGTTTTATCGGGTTTAGTGTGATTCGTGGCAATTATATGGTTATGGAAACAGTGATTTTGTTCTTCATTTAGTTATAACAACGTACAGCTGGGAAAAAAAAAAAAAATATTACACTGCAGTAGGTGATTCTTTGGAATGTCACTTTTGCCGTGTGTCCCCAATTACTTTTCCAAAACGATCGCACGATATACTTCAAACTTGATTCACGTATCATGTACAAATGGAATGGAAAACGTTTAAAAATAAATACACACCATATCCGCTCCACTAACCTGTCTCTCTTCCTCACAAAAATGAACCATCGTCCGGAAATCGGTCAAGTAGAAAAATTCCTCGAAAAATTCCACAAGCTCGACTTCCCCGAGTCCTCGTAGTCGTAGTGCAGCAATAAAACACGTCCCTCTCGGGGAACGTTACTTTCATCACAAATCTGCGCCTCGGATCTCTTCCGTATACTTTATTTAGTCTCATCGCGTAATTAACGATACTGACTTTTCTTATGTTATTTTCATTCCACAACCATACCCTACAAAATGTATTCCAATCACCTCGAGATTCGACTTGAATAGACATTTAAAACACATATGGATGTTTCATTATTTTGAAAGCATTTTTTTTTGTTCTCCCCCAAAATGCAACGTAAACAAAACAAACGGAAAAAAATTAATTTCCAGATCCCATCCGGCGACAGGGTGTCGAACGATCGGGCCAACTGCAGCAAACCGGCGCCCTGGGCGAACGTGAGCGTCGCCTCGATGTACAAGACCGAGCGCAAGCTCCTCTACCCGGTCAACGTCGGCCGCAACGTGGCCCGCGAATCGGCGAGCACCCGCTACGTCCTCGCCAGCGACATCGAGCTCTACCCGAGTCCCGAGCTCCCGGCCAACTTCCTCGAGATGGTCAGGCGCAAGGCGCACCCGGCCCTGAGCCGGCCCAACCCCAAGGTCTTTGTCCTCTCGATCTTCGAGGTTGACGAGAAGAGCCAACCGCCCAGGAACAAGACCGCACTGGTGAGTTGACTTTTCCTCCCCAGCTCTTACCGATGTGGCTTGTACATCTGATCTCTTTGGGGGCGGGCAGATGCAAATGCTGAAGACGGGCTCGCTGATACCGTTCCACAAGAAGCTGTGCTCGGGCTGCCACAACGTCCCAAGGGCCAAAGAGTGGCAGGAGGCCAAGGAGACCAGGAGCCTCAGCGTCTTCCACATCGGCAAGCGCACGGGCTCGTTCGTCCACTGGGAGCCGATCTACATCGGCACCAACGACGACCCTCTCTACGACGAGCGGCTCAGCTGGGAGGGCAAAAGCGACAAGATGACCCAGGTATATTTGTTCGTCTCTCCCCCCTCTTCTTGAATTTTACCAATTTTTTCACCACCAAACGATGCAACTTGCAGGGTTACGCGTTGTGCGTCCTGAACTACGACTTTTTGATCTTGGACAACGCGTTCCTGGTGCACAGGCCGGGCATCAAGGTCTACAAGAAGGACGCCTACAGGGACACCCTCACCGCGAAGACGAACGTCCTCATCAAGAAGATCATCACGCCCGAGCTGAAGGTGCTCTACGGCACCAAAAAGGGCTGCGCCGTCTAGTTGACGGGGGGGAGGAGGAGGAAACGAAAAAATAATCATGTGTGCCAAACTCTCCGCCCCTCTTTTTTTTTCTTTTTTTTTTCTTTTTTTTTTTTTTTCCTCACCATACGTCATTATCGTTGTTATTGTTGCTCTTGTTGTTGATTGTGCCCCTCCGCGCGGCCACGCTTCTTTGTATATTCCCCGCTCGCAAGTGGTGAGGGTTTTTTTTTTTTTTTTTTTTTTTTTTCCAATACGTATGCGTATACCACATGGGAAGGCTGGCTCAGGTGATTGTCTTTCTGGCGATACCGAGGGGATCTTGGCCGTTAGATTATTTCCTTGCACCGCACTTTGTTCTCGTTGTTGGTGTTGTTCGTTTTACTTGGCACGTCTTGGAACACACAGTACAATCAAATTTGTACTTGGCGTATGTAAGTTGAAGACTTTTCAAAAAAAAAAAAAAAAAAAAAAAAAAAACAAAGAAATGCGGAACGTCACGTAATTCAATACGTGCACTTCTAAAAAGTTTGACAGTGCATTGGAGGAGTAAGAAATCGTGGGTGATTATTTTTGGAAAATACCATAGGATGTAAGGCGCTTGGAGGTGAACAGAAACAAAAACAAAAAAAGATTGCGAGAACGTGCGACTTGGGTTCGATGAAATGAGGAGCACACGCATGGATACATATATATTTTTCTACATCTGCCGAGGAAAGAAAAATCGCGTTCCAGGATACACAATCGGCGAGGGATAAAGTCACGAAGAAGCCGTTCGATTTTCTTTTACGTTCCACGAGTTTAAAAGAGTGAAAGACAAGTACGAAGATTCAAACGAACTTTTCCCCTATACCGACAACTTTCCACTTTCGACTTAACATACACACACATATGCATTAGGTCGTCGCACTGTATATCTATCTACTTCTCTATTACCGTGTAGATTCTTAACTAGACTTAGGTACATATCGACGCATGAAGTAGGTGGCAATCGATTGAGTTTTTTTTTTAATTTTTTTATTATTATTATATTGCCTTTGCGGAGTGTACTAGTTTTTTCACGTATGGCGAATAAGCGATTCATCGCAGCATTTGTTCGTTTGTAAGATTAACTAGATAATCATGAAAAAAAAAAAAAAAAAAAATTACACGCATACTCGCTAAGAAATGTTGTTGAATCTTGATACGTAAATTAACACTTTTCCTTTCAAGTATCGTCAACGCATAGAATAGAGGAATTTATTTTTCAAGAAATTTCAATGATTCAAGACATTTCTTTTATCGCTGCTGTAGCATCTCTGAAAGAGATGTGAAAATGTGGATGATCAATTATACACCAAGTGAGCAAACACTACGAATAATATATTGTGCGATGGAAGTGATGGCATTGTAAATGCACGATATATATGTTTTTTCCAAGTTACGAGGCGTCTGTGACGCGATGGGAGTTTAGTCGTTCAATAGCATGTTAGCGTGTATCTATATACATGAATATGAATATTTTTTTAATAACTACGAAACGAAAATGTGTACATTGTAATATACATCACGTCTTTTCCCCTTCGGGTTTGTATTTTATTTGTCGATTGGGTGTACATTTTTTTTATATGTAAAAACGATACAAACGCGAGCGGAGACATTACTTTTGAAAGTATTTTTATAGAACCCGACGGTCTGACGATCGTATGTAGATGAAAAAAAAAAAACCAAAAAAAAACTAGAGAACAAAACAGGTCCCAGTTGAAATTATTTACTTGTACTTTCAATGACTATATCGAGTAGGTAAACACACCACTGAGCACCAACGCGATTATTATTCTCGATCGGATCGCAAGTTCCTTGTGGGTGACCCTCTTCGTTTAAAAAATATCGACACACACATATTCGGCTGTGCAAAGCTGAATCATGTTTCAACTGCTGTTAAACAAACGTAAGTGTAACTGAACAAAAGAAAAAAGAGTATACGATGATTGTGTACAATAAAGAAAAAAAAGGGAATAAAAGTATGACGTGTAAATATTCTGTGTGCCTTACGAGAGACAAAAAAATCTCAAAGCTTTAGAAGACGTGTTTTAAATACCTACGTATTAAGCCGTTGCCGCGATCGCGTATCATCGCACTAGTTGTTTGCACTTCTTTCATTATTACTGTTCGCGTAACCATAATGCGCCACCTATTCCTACGAAAAAAAAAAAGTCCCTTTCTTCTCGAATTTTTGACGAATGAGTAGACATTGTTTTAGAGACGACCTTACATTCGTAATCTGTTGATTATTTAAGACACTTATTGTTTAAGCGGTTATTTTTTTAATGTTTAAGACATACCTACTTTGTATACTGTTTAATTATGCTAAGGAAAAAAAAAATAGTATCAGTTTGGCTTTAAGCTTAGTGGATCGGATACTGCGTTCCGAGGATCCCGGTTGTTTAAACAATCTTGAGTAAGACTCACTTGTTTCCCCGTGTGTAGATATTATCAAACTGCGGACACGAATAATTCGTTGTATACTTAATTATTAGTATTTTTTTTTCTTTTCTATGATTTGCCATTTATATGATACGTATAAAACTACACAACAAACTACGAGATTTCTCGGAAAATTTTTGTAATCACTGGTCAATAATACTTTTATCTAATTTTCTAAGTATGCTGTAGGTATATTTGAACATAACACGTAATATGTTTGATTCGATTTTCTGAGAAATCTCTTTGCCAAAGTAACTTACCATTTACTTTTTCATGGTATATGTATCTCTAAAAACAATAAAAATGTAGAAAAATTTTTCTGAAAAATACGTTGCAAGTTCCGTTAACAGAGCTGAATACATTATGATTGGTTTTTTTTTTTTTAATCTCTGGCACTACTGTATTACATCCGTGTGTACGTAAGTTTTGTAAATGGCTATAATTGGCTAATCGACTGACCAGTATATATAATATAATCACAAAAGAGTTGGCTTTAGAACGAAAAAAGAGAAAAAAAGTAGTATTTGTAGATGAACGACAAAGAGAAGATATACAAATATGATAAATATTAAAATCAGAGACGTACTTGGTAGACTTAATTATTATTATTATTATTATTATTATCATTATTGTTTCTTATTATTATATGCGTGCTCTTATCAATGTGCCACACTCACGCGAGAGTCCCGTAGACACGATGAACAAAAAAAACCATTTTATGTACATGTATATTACATTTTTTATAAACGAAGGACTGTTTTGAGAAAAAAGTGAAAGCAAAACTAATAAAGTTTACACCATTTTGTCAATGTATTTTTATCCGAATGAAATTATAATTAATTGCGTATTGAAACCTTAGCTGTCTCAAGTGACGTTATTATTAGGTTTTTTTTTTTTTTTAATATTTCAAAACTTTGAATTGAAAGATTCTATTTTATTTAAAATTTTGATAATGAAAACAATGCCATAAAACTATAATTAGGTCTTGTTATTGAAAACTGAGTTGCAAGGATTGTTGTGTGGTCTTAAAAAAATCATTACTTATTTTTTATAAATTCAGGTGTCTCAAGGAAAAGCTCATGTTTTACAATTCAATAGTTTTTACGAAAAAAGTGATGATGTATATGTATTTTTTTTTATAATTTAATTTAAGTTGCCTGTAAACTACGTAATAATGTAAGAAAAAAAAAAAAAAAACAATGAAATGGGGTACCGAAATATTGAACTTCTTGTGTAAGTAAGGAAAGGTGCGAATTAAATAAGATTTATTTGGAGCTACGATCGCTATAAATACAAAAATGTCTCATTGTTGTTTCTATCTTTTGAAAGAAAAAGAAAAAAAAATAGGGCACTCACATTTTAGATGTATAATTTTTACCATTGTGCTTCACCCGTGAGGTGTAATGGAAAATAAGTGCGGCAGAATAGAAAAAAAAAAAAAAACAAAAAAAAAGTGCAGGTGATAGACAAAGAACGAAATTTTTTTACTGTTGAAACTGATAAAACCGATCAAGCACTGTCTTTATTGAAAATTCATAATCGTTGTAAGAGAAAATAATGCTCTTAATGATTATCGTGATTAATACAAGTGATGACGAATACAATGATGACCATGAGCCTGTGAGGTGGCAACTTAATTCAAATGAAACTATTGAAAAATATAGAGATTATCAAAGATAAAACTATCGTTTCAACTGATATTTGACCTCCCATCATTCATCCAAATCCTGCTACTTATATTCGTCTACACAAATTTTACTTTTCAGCTTAAATCACATATACTATCTAGCCTACTGAAATATCATTCGAGCTCCTGGTTTCACATCGTTTATCACTTTGACTCTCTTGACGTAATCAACCAAGTTGTCCACGTCTCTGGTTTCACCTTTGACTATGAGCCGGTGTTTTTTCTGAATCGTTTTATAAGCACTCGTGAGAAGATAGCTGGCAACGACGATCCTGTAACGTTTCTGAAGATCCAAAATCTCAAATTCCTCCGTACATTGGGAACACCTGGGCAAAGGAAAATAATCGCGTTGACACAAAAGTTTACCCTACACGTATACGTTTAAACAAAATTGTGCCCATATACCTGACTTTCACCTCGACAACCTTAGAATTCGTGTTCTTCAGATTGTACGTGACTTTCAAGCCAGACCAGTGCAGTAGCTTGTAATTGATAAAACTAGTGTTGCTCACGCTGACTGCAACGTTTTCTTCGAGGATCTGACAACAGTTTGAATTATTAATACATAAATATTGTATTTGATGCGTGTGAGTCAAGAGAGTAAACAAATCCAACAACCTTCAGCAAGTCCGATCCTGCGAGTTCGATCAAATCCCAGGTATTGTTGTACGGCAGGGTCATGTAAATGTCCTCGTAAACGATTTCACCCGCGGGTATGCTGTTCTGGATGTTGAGCGCGCTATTTAGACTGATGTTTGCACTACCTGCGTACTGTGTGAGTGTAAAAATAAATACAATCGAAAATCCATCACAAGCAAGTGATTGATACTTTTAAGTCCGTGTATGTACCTTGTCGACCATAACATCCGTGATAAAATCGGCAAAACTACAATCGCCCGTAGAGCAGGTGCCGTTCAAAAAAACCCTCGTTTCGCCGACGTGGACTTTGCCGACTTTGTCGACGCCGATTTTCCACGGTCGCAATTTCTCGAGGATCGCGGGATCTTCAAAACAAGGAAATAAGATTTTTTTTTTTTTTTTTTTACAGTATACGCATGATTATCACGATTTAAGCATTTGGATGACGCGCACCTTCTTTGACTGCCCTGTCCAAATATATGGGATTCCCGGACCAAGTAACGATTTCGTTTCTCTCGTTGAATACCACTTTAAGGTCGCCCACGTATCTGCAACGATTGGCGAATTTATATCGATTCGTTACCGTTTTACCATAAATTGTACATACTTGGTGTAGGCACCAGCGTGAACGATTAGGACCGTTTTATTGGTGTTGTCCCTTTGGGTGACAGCGATCGGATACTTGTCGTAGGCGAGCTCGCCCGAGGGTGGTGAATCTGTATAACAAAACAATCGAGGTGTGACATTGTATACTATATATTTACCGATGAGTCTACAGGTATACATGGGAATAACTCACTGGCGCCGGACCACAAGAGAATGTGAGAGTGTCCACCGACAATGACGTTTATGTCCGGGCACTCTTTGGCCATTAATTTGTCCCGGTCTATGCCGCAGTGACTCAACACGACTACTATGTCCACCCCCTGGGCTTTGAGCTTTTTCGCTTCGGCGTTGACGGTCTCGACTTCGTCCAGGAATTTCAACTTCCCCGTTGTCTTTGATATTTTCTGAGGGAAAAGTAAACGCGTCCAACACGACGTTTACAATATTTATAAGTACAGAGTGTTTTAATCGCCCTCGCACGCGCGTATGTATGTATATACACGTACGTCTGTGTCGGAGAATATGACGCCGATGATACCGATGCGCTTGCCGCCCTTGACGATTGTCGTGCTGTTGGTGTAGACGTTCTATAGGAATCATCATTCAATATCGTCAGTTTTGTGTTGAATCAGATTTTTTTTTCTTTACCTTCATCGACGGCTCTTTGCTGGTGTCAATGTTGGCGACGACCACGGGTGCTCTCAGTTGCCTCGCGAACGACGCAAAACCCGACACTCCGTCGTCGAAATCGTGATTACCGATGGTCTGCAAAGTGAAAACGTGTCGGATCACGGAAGAAAAAAACAAATAGTTGCATGCATATATTACCATGGCATCGTGGGGCAGGTCGTTCATGAAGGGCGCCGTGATGTTGCCGCGGTACAGGTCGTAGTAGAGCGTACCCTGGAAGTTATCCCCGGCGTTGAGAAACAGGGCGTTCGGTTGGTTTTCCTTGTACCGCTTGACGATCCGCGCGACCCTGGCTATGCCACCCACGCACTTGTCCGCGTCGTAGCACAGGCTACCACTTGGCGGTGAGACTGGCTCGTATCTGCAAACGCGGACATATTACATTATTACATTATACATATGGAGATACGTACAATATCTTTCGACGAATTTTCAATGCGAGGTAGTACCTGGAATGAAAATCGCTCAGGTGGACGATGGACAGCTCGTATAAATCGGGCTTCTCGACGACCGCAGCAGCGGATTGTGCTGTTACGGTGCAGAGTACGGTGAGGATGGCGAGCGAAGATTTTTCGGGAAACTTCATACTTCCGGACCTTTTTTTTTTCTTTTTAAATGCAAGGGAGTCGTCTGAATTTTACGTTAGAGATCGGTACAACTGAGCTTTTAGATGTAATCGGTTCGAGAGTCGACACGGCAGTGCTCGAAATAAAACTGCTCCGCACGTGCAACCACCATCAGTATCAGTATGAACTTTAGAAAGTTTCCCTATAGTGTTTTTGTTGTGTCGACGGGGGGAACATTATCTCTATGCCGATGCAGCATGAGTACTTGCGTTATCATGCCTGATTAATTTATAAAATTATTGCTGTCGTGAGCTGAACAATGAATATTTCGAGACATTTTTTTTTTTTTTTTTTAGTTAAACAAATGGAGCTGTTAAATGTTTGAAAGTAACGTACTTACTTCGATGAGCTAAGGTGACATTGTATGATTTTCGATACTTCTAGTACGTACTTACACCAGAGATAAGTAGTTCGTCGAATCGGCCAAAATAGTAAATAAACGCGAAAGTCATCAAAACTTGGACCGTGTATTAGAAATACAATGGGAATGGGGGAACAATCAGTTGAAGGGTGTACGTGAATAATAAGACCACAAACATTGTTTTATGAACAAATCCAAGGAAAAAGAGAACTAAAAAAGTTTTTTTTTAATTCATATTTTATTTAAAAAATGGAAAATCTTAGAAAAATTAAAAATTTACCTTTTCCTTGTTTTTCAGTTTATTGTATTAACCTTCTTTCATTATAAAATATAATGTAAATACGCTTTATTCAATATCTCACTTTAAATTAACCCATTTGTAATCGTACTCCAACCCGTAATATATATATATATATACTTGATTCGCGCGGTACAACTCGGTTTCCTCGTTACAAAAATATTCATTTCAGAGGCGAGTGGACAATAAGGATACAATTTTCTTTTCTTTTAAATCCTTTTGCAATTATGTACACGAATAAACTATACATCAAAGCATGTAACTATACTCTTTGTAACATAGTACTTTCCCAACAATGCTTTACTTGGTTTTAATCAAGATTCATGAAATACAAAAGTTTAACTTCATCTTTAACTTAATTCAAATATTTATATTCATTTGAAATTTAGATTTAAATTAATAATGTATACATATATTTGTATATAAAAATATCTTTCATCTGATCTTTCACATCAGTAATGCACAAAGGATCTTTGTATTTCATGTGAATTAAATACATCATACATATGTTTATCACAATGTTCAATTTTTTTTTTTTTTTTTTATATTTCTTACATCTTTTAAAACAGTACAATGTAGTCAGTTTTTTAAAACTGTTATTGCTTATACTATAATTGATTTCATACAAAAAAAGAATACTATCTACAGTTAAGACAATTTTAAAACTAAAGACTACAGTATAATGAAGATATTTATCTCTTGTGCTATTAATTCTGATGGATTATCTTGATCAATGCTTAAAATGAAACCAAGTGAAATATACTAACATTTGCGCAACAGTTTACGCAAAGTTATTTTAACTTTCATGTACAATAATTTAATATTAATTTCATACTTATTTTAAAAAGTCGAGCATGTATTTGAATGCCGTTAAAGTACATGCACGATTTCTTTGAATTCCACAGCGCCTGCATCAAACACATCCATAGCTTTGATTAGAAAAAGAACTACTACACTTCTTAAATTCGAGATGGCTTTCAACGAGGTCGCATATCAAACAGTTAAGCGAGTGAGGAAGATTAACATATTTTACGAAATAATGATTAACAGGGTACAAAAAGAATTACTGTTTACGTTTGTGGTGGTCACAACGTTCCAGTGTCACATACAAATGTAGATAAAACCATAGCAAATTATGATCAGCTTCGATCAATTCGTTCCTGTAAAGTGTGAACATAGCAAAGTATCCACTTGCAAAGCGTAACGTGAGTTAGAATATAGAATTACTATTCTAAATTTTGCGAGTAAAATTTAGTTTAAAATTAAGTTTAGTTATTATTTTAAAATAACGTGTATAGGAAGATAAGAAAAACTCTTGGAAGATGTCTGTAGATTTATGTAGCGACGTTTTAAAATTTTAGAGGAATATTTGTCTTGTTAATTTTTTTCATTTAATTTTACCGAGTAATTCGACACATGTTATTTTTTAGCCATAAATATAAAAATAACTTTGAATTACTAGTACATAAAAGTTAAATAACTGGGCAAAAATCGTTGAAAACGCTAGTATACATTTTCTTTTTTACCTTTGCAACAACTGTAGTAAGGATAATAGAAATTTGAATATTTTTATTTTCACACGGTATTTTCTAATAGCGAGACTTTTGCTGCGCATACCGACCAGAGTTTTGTGGATTGCACGGTATCGCAGTTAATAGAATACTCTCGTTCAGCACAGGTTGTTTACTGAGTTTTTGCGCCTGCATGAGTATCCTATTCGATTTCATAACGTCATACTGCCTAGCAATGGGAGCCGGCACTGTATGCCCCGCGATGTCGACATTTCTCGATCTCAGAGTCTTTATTGGCGTCGCTGCTATCGTGTCAGACCTGAGCCAACGTTTGGGCGTCGACGACGATGATTTCGTCGACGTGGACTCCGAGGCATATTCAATCATACTCATAACCGATTGTCTATGGCTGGTCGCGCAACTTATTCCTGTTCTGCTGGCACGACCCTGGTCCCAAAAGCTGTCACGCGTAATTTGAATACGACTCGTTGATCGATTAAAAGATGGACGTCTGATGGTTTTTACGGGAGTCGACTTCTTTTCCAGACTGCGACGTTTAAACGAGTTGGGCGAAGAGTGGCGTCTCTCCCGAATTCCATTTGTACTGGGATTCAGTACTCCATCTAACAATTAATAATTCAAAGTTAAAGCAAAATCCAAATCAATACTATACATGTATGCCTTATTACGACTTACTTGTTCTGGATGTAGACGCATCGCCGACAGACCACCGCATTTTATTGCGCAACTGATTCTCGACCTTCTGATTCGTTGGGTTGTTCTCGTCTTGCGTATTTCTCTGATCTTCAGATCTTGTTTTCCTCTTAAGACATAGTTCCCCGCTAACGCTATTTTTGGTTTCGTACTTGCAACTACTCGCGCTTTGCTTTCCAACACCAACTCTAAGATCTCCAGGTTCATTTCCCAACATAACTCTGCAACTTCTTTTCAAAGATTTGCTAACGTTTGTAACAGACAGACAGGACGTCGCCTTGGACGTAAGAGATTTTCTCTGTTGTCTCTGATTGTTTTGCGATACGTCAGTGCTGTGACGCCGCTTACGACCAGTTTGACGCATAATAGCGCTACCACTGTAGTTTTTCGAGACATACACTCTCTTTGTCAGTAGGCTATTGGTCGTAGTTTCATTTACGCAACTTCGTCTTAGCCTTGGGCCATGAGGTTGAGGCTCGTTACATGTGATCGACTGTAAATCCTCATGGCTCAGATCGTTGGAAAATTGCTCGGCTTTCGGTACCTCTTGCAACCAACTCTTACGCTCCAGCAGGAACTTAGTATCTGATGCGTCAGATTCTTCGGATGCAATATTTGAGTCATCCTCTTTGCAAATGCTGCTTTCAACAATACTATGATCCAAATCAATTATCGACTCATCCAACATACCCGTGGAGGAATTGTTGAGCTCATCGCTCACATTACTGGACGATATTTCGGCTACTTGGATGCTTTCTCCCGCTACTGTGTCAACTTGGCTTAGCTTTGACGTGTCTTTGGCTGGACTGGTCGTATTTTTGTTAATTTTTTCGCTTGAATGCTCTCTTGGTTCAGTAACGTTTTGATTAGAAGAGTCTGGATGCTTGTGAACATCAAGGTTTGTGGCAGAAGAGATTTTTGGTTCAGCAGATGCACAAGAAATAATTGGAGACTGACGAGTAGGACTTGGCGATGTAGATTTGTGGGTAGTTCGCACCATAGGCGTGTACTGAGATTCTGACACTGGTCGAGAGACTTGATTTGATTGCATTTGTTCTCGCTTTTGACTTAGTAGGATCTAAAAGTATGAACAAAATATTTTCTTAGTCATGATGTTTTAACGTACTTAAAAAATATAATCAAAGTATGCGTATTTATGATGCAATTTTCTATTAAATTAATGAAATATGATCACTTTGTAAGCTTAACGAAAAAAAAAAAAAAAAAAAAAAAAAAAATTCCAAGGTCAGATAAAAAAGATTTTCTGCAATCACCTCACTGTGAGTTGGTCCTGGTGGATCAAGCATAAGGGTAACAACACTGGTATTATCAGCTCTCAATCTGGTAGAGGACCATTTGTCAAGAGCGCGATCTACTAAGCTTTTTGATGGGTTGATCCACATTTGTGCTTCTCCTTGCTGGAATTGTAGTGAATGGAAAACAATTTTTAATTCAAGTCATATTAAGTATTTCATATGCAAAAATTTTAACTTTACCTCATTTCCTGTTTGTTGCGAAGCAATTAAATGCTTTTCATTATGCTTTTCAGCTGCTTGGGCAATGGCTACTGCAGCTTGTGCAGAAAGCATGTTCCATAAGCCATCAGTACCAAAGATAAGACATCTATGTGTCTTGACATCAATTTCAATAACCTTAACATCAGGTTCTGGTGAGACCACAAATGTATTTTTGTCGGAATTATAGCTCCACAAGTCACCTTAAGCCATGTATGAGACGAAAATTAGTTTTCTTTGTATAAATTATACATAATGTACAAATAATATACAAAAGAAAGACGCTATTCACCTAGAGATCGAGCTACAGCTAAAAATGGAATTTCATCTATTTGAGTTGATCTACGAACAGGACCCTTGTGACCTAGCCTGGGCCTGTTCCATACGACTCTTGGAACTCCAGACTTGCTGACAACCTTTCCCCCAGACTCCTGAATCCTACTCATTTCAATTCCACACTCTGGCTTATGATCTCTAGTCAGAGCTTTCGACTTCCATACTTGATCATCATTATCCTGGTATCCCAGAATTATAGCAGAGTCACCAACATGACCAATATAAATTTTGCCTTTGCGTATGAAAGCTATGCTGGCAGTCGTACCAGCGGTCGATGGCAGACCAGAAGCTGTTCTAGGCCACTTTTCTGTGGAAAATTGTTGTCATGAGTAAAAAAAAAAAAATTCCTCACTTTTTACAAATATCGATTAATTTATGTTTTAACTTTGACGTCAGTTCCAATTATACTTTGGTCTTGACAGTTAAGTATTTGGTAGCAACAAAAGCTTAAAAAAGACAAGAAAGATGGCACATTTTACATTTCTTCCCAACCAAAACAAAACTTAAAAAATCCCGCTTTTCGATAGAGCAGTAGACGACGTTTTTTTCCACAGCGCGCAAGAATACATATTTATATATATAGCAGAGAGACAGAGACACTAAACATAGACAGTTTTGCTCTGTCGGAGGTGTTACATAACCTAGATTAATTTACTTAACCAATAGGTGGGAGATAATAAAAAAAAAAGATAACTTGGACAATCGAAGGAGCAGCCTACACTTGAGCTTTCTATCTCTTGAAGTGTCTCCCTGCTGCAGAAGCGCTCGCGCGTGAACCGTTATATGAAGACGGAAGATCACCCACACACATGCAAACGTTACACTTGACGTGCGCGCCTTGCTGGCGACGGAAAATACGCGGGACACACGGAGTACGTGGACATTATATCTATATACGTGTGCATTCTTTCGTTCGTCTCTCCGTTATTTCATGTTCTCGCTGAAAACAGAGAAATCTGTGTTGTGTGCATTGTAGGCTGGCTCTGTTTTTATTCCCAAAAACGATAACAGAAGGGTGGAGCTCTTAGCTCTTATCTAGAAGCCACGAGTACTTGCCAATAACAATCGAGTATAGGAAAACAAGGAGTATTACCCGAAGCATAATAGAAGAAAAGACGTACCAAGCTCCTTCCACATAGCGTAGTGCGTGTTGACATAGCCGTCGCGAATGGCTTTGAGGACGTCCTCGTCGTTGTCGCTCCAAAAATTTTTCTGTTTTATGATGATATCCATGAGATTCTCCTTGGCGAAGGTCGCGGCCTCGCCACCACCGTGTCCATCGAATATGCCGAAAAAGGCGTACTCGAGCTCCCGGTCGTTCGACGACTGCTGGTACGCCACGCTGAACGTGTCCTCCATGTATTTACGGCCACCCTGGTTACAGTGGCCCGTAACTCGCAGATTCACTCCGATACCCATCGGCATTTTTAACGGGCTTGATTTACTCCTCCGTTGTTCTAACCCACTTTGTTCGCGCTTCTAATTGATTGTACCTTTTCAACAACTTTTGAACTTTCAACGCAACGGCAAACTTTGGCGTGACACACAGGCAGGCGTTAACCTGCGCTCTTGTTCGTTCGAGGTTTGGGCCTAGAACTGACGACTGCGTTGTGTGTATGACGATCTTGTGACGTCTCTCCGTGAGACGCGCAGCTGCCACTGATCAACTGATGTTACGATTCAAGATTCAAGATTGCCTCTCTTGAGTCTCACACACAAAGTGTATGTGAGGAATACTCAAGGATCTAGGCTCCAGGCAGGATCTACTGAGTTCATCAAACGATTAATGTCCAATGATACTTGTGTATTTTTTTTACGCACACACGCACAACAGCAGCAGAAGCCTCGCGTTATACGTTAATTCAGCATTCAGCATAATATAAGTAGGTATATGATGCGGTTACTCTAAGTATAAATCGCTGAATGCTATACGATTTTCTATATGGTTTGCGCTTTGCGCTCCTCGAACTGGCAAGGTTTGTGGGAGAGCGAACAAGTACAGACTCGAATGGAAGATCGATGTATATATAGGTATACCTACTTTGTGTGTCCACAATGTGGACTGTGGACTGCACAGTTGCACACTCGTCCATCACGTCCGCATGCATGTATTGCACACGAGATATGTGCGCGCAGCTATATATCACATTTTCGATTTTCGAATGAAATAAAACGAATTTCAGGTTTTTCGTGAAAATTGTGAAACATTATGCGCAGACGTATAGTAAACGAAGTGAATGGAAATTAACATAATAGTATTAAATAAGTATTGTATAATTAGAAAAATAATAGTGTTACTATTACAGGTGGCAAAAAAACAAATTAAAACTAAATGTATTGTAATGAAATGATCCATATGCATATATAAAACATGTTTTATGTGTGTTTATATATATATAAATACTAGCAGCTAAGTGTACCCATGGAGTACCCTACCATACCAACAACAGAAACTCTTCATAGCCTGCCGTATCGACGGCTAACAATGGACACAGTTTTTTTTAGGGATTTTTTAATATGAAACCACCTGCGCGAGATGGCGCTGACTCTGAGTTAAATGAAATTCAGTCAAATTATTGGATTCAAGATTCAAGGTAATAATCGGAATAATCCGTCCGTTATTAATGCCCTTAAAAGAGCCTTTATTCATATTACCAACGTAAATATTTAAACATGTATTCTCCGCTGCGTCAAAAGTTTGATAGATATATATTTTTGTCAATAAACTATCAAACATAAGAAATACTTATTATATCAATGTATTACATGTGAAACATTGTATATATATATCTAACTCCAGTATTATATACTGACAAATGCAATATCTCGAATAAAAGGCCAACAAATTAAATTAAATTAATACGTGAAATTCTATTAATTGAAAATTGAAATATTGAATATAGCACTATCGACTGCGTCCCCGAGACGAAAAGCGTCCCAAGCCTCCGGTAAACCCGCGCACGGGGTCACAATTATGGATCCTCGAGGTTTCCCGCAAAAGAGGCTATACTTATTGATTTTAATTTACGGTAATTCGCACGTGCATTGTGGGCCCAGTACTTAATAGTATTCGCTAGGTGTTTTGCCATCAGAACATTCAAATGTATTCATGTGACAAAACATCGCAAACAACAGTTGTAACTGATTAAATGAAAAGGTACTTTGGCAAATCGGTAACTAGAATTTTTGGTGGAATTCTTGGATAACACAAGTAGTTTTTTTCTCGGATACTCATTGATGTAAAAATTTGAGTAACTTTATCAATATTTCCATTTGTTTATTTACTTATCCACTACATGTACACGTACACCACACGTGCAAACATTCAATGCCAGGCCCTTAACATTGTAGCGCGAGATAAACCGAATAATACACAATAGGACCTCCTCGTTTCTTTGTCCCGCTATAGTTTGCAATGCCCCGTTCATCAGGGCTTAATGGCTCTTTTATAATCGAACGACATGCAGCGGCAGCGACGACGTCGAGGATTAAATTTTTCTCTCGTCTCCTTTTTTTTTTTTTTTTTTTTTTTTCTGTCTCTCCGTCGATGTTCGGGTCACGGGCGCGCTTCATTGTTATATATTATATGGGCTTCGTTCGGATCCCATCGGTGATCGCAGAGGCTGGGGCGGAGCTCTGAAAATTTTCAAGTGCGGCCTTTTACTTTATTACCTATATTATTATTATTATTATTTTATTATTACTATTATTATTGCATCGGTGCTCGTTCGTCCGCGCCGGGTCGCTAATGAGCCCGTGAATATGCGCGTGATGGTACATACGATATAATATGTTATGCTCTTATTGAGCCTTGGTCATGACTATCATTGTTATTTTATTGTTATTTCGTGGGAGTTTATGAGTACAAAATGCACGAATCGTTTTATTATTCAACTTTATACAAATTTGATCTTTTCACTGCATCACTTTGTGATGTATGTGAGTAGTTTTTTTAAGAAGCTATACTTTACATTTGGCAAATTAGCGTGATGATGTTTTGTTGGTGCTTAATGATTTTTCCTTACTTTGGCTAAGAGTGCACTTCAAGTCCATTATATGAGTAAAAAGTCTGAGATTCATAATGGCCTTTGGGCATTTGGAATAAAAAATTATAAAACATGCTATATGTATGCCTATGTATGTAAATCGACGACGGCACTCACAACCGCACGTTAGCTGATGAAATTTAAATTGGAGTTTCAGCACTCATTTTGAAGTTCCAAGTTGATATTGAATTTGTATCGTAAATATTTTTTGAATTTTGAAGTTCGTGAAACCGTATAAAGATGTATTGTACGTCTCTTAAATGTTAAAATTCTATCACTCTATTTTTTAACAAGTCTTATTTCAGTTCAACATATGTTAATATTAATTATAGTTCAAGCCATACTAATTCGGAATAAAAAATGCAATGCTAGCAAGTTGAAAAATATACAGAATTCAAGATCAAACGTAGTGTTGAGCAGTAGAAGTGAAAATGGCACCTAAAAAGTAATCACTGGATTAGCACTGACCTAATTTCAATCTAGATTTAGATTATTAGCTTCACTAAAAACTCAGTGCATAACACGTTTAATTGGCAAAAAAAAAACTCCAAGTCGCTGCATTTTAAAATTCAATTCACATCCATACGTAAATGTAGCTGATCAAATGCTACACATGCAAATTCAATGTTATTTGCATAATATCCCGCGTTACGTGAAAATCATCTGGATCTAAAAATCCAAGTGGACGATGTGTATTTTTTATTCCTTATAATAGACACACATCAGCCTCTCTATTAATATCTTCTCGCATCACCCGTGCGTAATTTTATCATAAAATCGCGTGGTACATTTTTAAATAGCCCTGATAGGCCAAAACCTTTTAAAAACTTTATTTTTACTACTTGATATATAATTTCTGGACTCACTTATGGTGTTGCCATCCAAGTGCCACAAAACATAGCATGTATAGTTCCACATTTAAATGAAAAGAATCCAGAAGTGATTTTTTACAACAAAAAAAAGTATCAGGATTTACTGCACTTTTTTTAACATTTCAAACTTTTTGAAAACAGGGTTTTTTTTTTTGTAACATTACGCGCTAAGAGAGAGACGGCTCAAGCAACAGTAATAGCCATGCCCAAGCCAACAGCCGAGAATCCCCGACGTATCCAACATTTTCAATAGAAGAAGAAGAAAAAAAAAAAAAATCCTAATTAAGTACCCGGAAACATATATACCCTGCAAAAAAGGCCCCCACGCTCCGCGCATAGCGTTTTTTCCACCCTCCCTTTGTTTTAACGATCGAAAAATCTCTTCCGTGTATACATACTCTTAGCTGTACTCGTAAAGAGCGAGTCTACGGGCAAAGTACACCCGGGATTCTTAAAGAAGCCACGGAACCTCGTAAACTCAGCTCGGCCGGAGACAAAGTTCCGTGGATGCCTTATCCTCTCCCGAAGCTGCAAGCCCTCAGGGGGAGGATTTGCGACTCGAGTTTGTCTCGCGCCCGCCGCTCTTTCTCCTTGTCCCTTGCGCAGCAGCGTTGGAGCTTCTTTTTCCCTATACTTACTCACTCCTTCTCCTCTTTCGCTCCGATCCTCTGTCTCTCGATTTCCTTCGCTCCTGCATGTACTTACTCACTTGTGATTACTCATTCGTCGTCTTTCGCAATAATTGCCAGTACTTACAACGTTGACGAGAAAATTTTGCACATTAACAAGTACTGATATCATTGCAAGTTTGTGCGTTTATCCCACCGATATTACTTACTATCGGTAAATCGGTTTCTTCCAATGCACGGAATAATTCGTTCTGTGTGCTGTATAAGTATATATTATATACATCAGCTGCAAAAATGCTGACCGCATCTGGCTTATTGATTTTTTTCGAAATGACACGAGGGTGGACATATCATCGTTATTTCACGTTATATACATATACATATAAGAGCCGCGTATAGCGTTACGTCCCGCTCATCTGATTACACGCCCCTCCCTCCCTCTTTGCTCACCCTTGCCACGAACACGACACTTTTCCACCGTCTCCTTTTAGGGTTTTATGTGTCCATTATATCGTACAATGGCACGTGCACCCGGACTGTCGGTCACCAACAACAGCACGATGATTGGTTGAAAAACATTTGTAACCCATCGCAATGACTATCAACGCCACAATATTATAAACAATAATAATCGTTGCTCTTCCTCGGTGTGACTCAAAAAAGGTTTTTCGGCGATACCGTGGCTTTGTTGTGCGTCAGATGCTTGTTTAGTTTACAAGGCAAAAACGAACAAACCCCCGTGAATAATTATATCATGTGTACCTATATATGGCGCTTCTGCGCGGGCTCCAAAAGTGTCTCGAGACTTTTCCCATGGGCATCAGTATATAGGGACGGGACCCAAGTTTGATGTGTGATGTATATAATTATGAGGTTTCGGGTTGTGCGAGCGATTCTTGCGTATACGCGACGGCGATTGTTCAGTTCCCGGTCCAAGTGGAGGATTTTTCGTGTTTCGTACGCATTTGTGTATTGGCGGAGAGGGGGAAGAAGAAAAAGAAGGAGAAAAACAAACTATGACGGTTTCGGCCGGATTTCTTGCGCAACCACCTCCCGATGGGGCTCCGAACGAGGGACAAATTTATGAGAAGCTCTTGCGTCTAGGTTTCTTTTTTTTTTTTTTTTCATTCTCAAATACCAGTCAAACACTCGGTGAAACAACAATGAGATAAATAATTTATAAGCGCAGTAAAACACAGAGAGAGACGTACCATTGTCCAACGCTCTCTTTCCCGCAGCATCATCCTTTTTTTCGTACACACACAAAGAGACAATTATGTTAATTTTACCCACATCCACGCGAAATTATTCATGCACTTGTGTGTTTATCCAATCGTGTGTACATGTGTGTGTGTTATGTTAATCGCCGGTGGTAAATATATATCATTTAAAAGCGTTGTGAGAGACAAAAAAAAACTGTCAAATATAACGTCTCTTACATCAGGTATAAATAAAGTATAATAAGGGCATTAATATACGAGTCTTTGAGGCAATGTTTTTTTTTTTTTTTTTTTTTTTTATTCATCGAGGATCACGATATTGTCTCGAAATCCATAGATGTTTATAAATACGCATAGTACGAGAAGCGCCTGTCGTAATATTTATCATTAGAGCGTATTCGATTTCGCACAGTGAAAAAAAAAAAAAAAAAAAAACAACTAACGCGCTATCAATTATACTATACGTACGAACAAATGGTAATGAAACTAATCATCGTTTGCTATGTACATTTTTATACCATAGGCGCCTCGATCACTAAATCACTTCCAAATCGTTGGCAGAGAGGAAACCATCGTGACATCATCACTTTGAAGGACTATTAATTTGATGCTAAGCTGTGACGCCATCGCGACTCTTTTTTTTTTTTTTTTTTTTTTTTTTCTTCAACGCCCATAATACGAACGGACGCACGCGTGTAGTCAAAAAACGATATTTAAGAGGACCAGGAAGATTCGTGAATCGATCGATTGAAATCGACTTTGCAAATCAAATGTATATATATACACCATATCAGCCGAGATAAGACACTCATTTTTATTTTTCTTTTTTTATGAAACCTTATACAGTTCACCTCTAATGACTTCCTGCCGATCCCTCGAGCCGATCTGTCAAACAAAACAACTTCCCCGAAAGCTCGTGGTTCGTCAGACTCGGGCACAATCATCTTATGGATTTTTAAACGCTTAAAAACAATTTCTTTACTGTGGCAGATAAATTGTGCAATTAAATTTTATTGTAAAGTGTTTGAAAATAAAATATTTAAATACTTTCTCATTTAATTTTTTTTTTTCCAAAATTGTTTAGTCTTAATGAACTAAAAAAATTTTGTCGAGCAATCTGTTAAGCGTAAATAGTGCATTAAACTATGGAAACATTATATTGTAAAAAAAAAAAAAAAAAAAACTACAATTATGAGCCCAAGTACGTGGGTGAGCCAATTATTTCCGATGTAAACTTTAATTTTTTTTTTTTAGGCACTTTGCTGCGTGAATTAACGAAGTATATTATATATTTGATGAAAAGTCAGTTGACGAGGAATCGATGCCATTGCGATACTCGCGCGCCTTCTTATCAGCGCACACGTAGGTATAACGGTGCGAGTGTCTTATTTGATGTAGCGAGATAGCGCGAAGGTAAAGTTGAGCAATAATACGAAACGTTGTGCAGCGTCGTCGCGGTACTTTTATTGTTTTATATATACATATCTCGCCCAATCGGCGTCTCTCTCGCAGCGATAGCCGAGTGAGAAAACTGTTGAAAAAGACAATAATATAATTATATATAATGTACAAGGAGGGTCTCAATATACAAGTAAACGCTATACACGGGGCGTATACTATGGCGAACAAATAAATTCCCCGTAAATTACAATCATATTACATATTTATTTATGACTACATGTACGTCGGATCCTATACTTATAACAAGTATTTCAATGACGCGTTGCTCAACCACGCGTTCGGATAGTATAGCCGCGTGCCTTTGATATTATACTCCGCGCGGTCCCTTCTCCCCCGTGACAATTACACCCCCATGCCTCATTGTTATGTGTGTACTCCTTATACACGCGTAACATACCGATCTCCGGACAAATCACGGGCAGTCGTTCCTCGACGATGACGTGTACGGTCGAGGTGTTGTATGGGTGGTTAAAAATAACATTTGTATAATTATATATCCACGCATACAATAATACGTTATTATTTATGGTCGCCACGAGAAATGTATATGTATATGAAAAAGAGGAAGACGAATATTGTAATATACATAATATGTGATCTCGTGTGTGCCTCCAAAAAGGATGACGGTGACGCGGGAGGCGAGGCGAACGCGGAGGGGGAGAGAGAAGGCCCCGCCGCTCGCTCGGGAATCGTGTATACTCAGCAGCTCAGTCGCCGATGCAACACCGTGTGCGTCGCGGACCCGCGCTTCTGGCTCGAATTTACTTTTTTTTCTTTTTTTTTTTTTTCTTTCTTCTCCTTCATTCATTGGCTCTCGGTGAGTTTGGATGGTATACCGTTGCTGTTGGAGTGGCTTTCACGTGGTTTTGTTCCTTATTAATTGGTTATAGTGTCGAGTGATTTGTTTTTTTTTCACACCCATCGGAGAGGTGGTTTGTCGATCCCGCGGTGGTCGGGAGGATGATCGGCGAGCTTGACGATCGCGCAAGAGGTGAGTTGGTTCTCTTTCCTTTCCAAGTCGAACGCTCGTGTAGCGCGGTAAGGAGAATATAATATATAGTTTACCCGAATTGCGAAAAATTATACAATGCAGTGAGGCGGAAAATCGGCACCGCGTTGTACGACTGCGGTTGGCGCAGGTGGTTGACTGTCGAATAAAGTGCCGCCGGAGCATATATTTTCGAAGAAAAAAAAGACAAAAGGCGCCGAGAGAGAGAGAGAGATAAAAGCGCAATTAAGATAAGTACGAGCGATTATAAATACAGAATGTTGTTGGCACCGAAATCGTCGCTCGGTGATTATTATTATCATGTTCATATACACTTGTTGAAAGAGCGCGGGCGTTATCTTTTTTTTTTGGATTCGTAAAGATAAATGAATATCCGACACGCTTATTTAGAGTGGAAATTTGGGATTGACAATTTGTTTGGCGTGCCAGACAAGCGCACGAGCGATGTATGAATCATCACCTCTCGCGAGTAAAAAAAAAAAAAAAAAATCGTACCCGTGTAGATATACTTGATTTAGATGTTGAGAGTACATCACATGTGTACAACACAGCGTGAACGTGACAGTTCGCGAGTTGGAAAGAGAAAAAAAAAAAAGAAATCGGAGCAATCGCGAGAAAAAGAGGAAGTAGGACGCGCGCACGTGTCACGCGGATACACTCGTGGTGTAAAAAATAAGACACTTGATTATCTGCTTCAAACTCGATGAAAACTGTACCGAAAAGGTATACCAAATTCGAGTGACATCGAAGATTGATGATGAAAAAATACAAGAGGAGACGCACCGCGTACAACGCAGTACAAAAAGTATCACAGCGTTGGTTGAGAAACAACCAAAGACGTGAGATAGGAATCTCCCTTTTATCCCCCCCTCGTGATTTAGATGGAAAATTTCGCCGTTAACAATATATAATGAAGAAACCTCTTTATACGTATAAGTAGATATAGGCTCTTGTGTATTGAAAAAGGCGCCGATGGGTTGGTATATGAAAAAAAAGTACACGTACCCACGGGTGGGTGAATTCTCGAGGTGAAGAGATCGTGACTCGATCGCCGATGGCTTTTCTTTTTCATTCTTAGCGGTTCTTTTTTTTTTTTTTCTTTCCATCCTCGTTGTGAAAGCGCGCGAAAGAAACTATGCAGCTTTTCCAACAGATACGTAAGTACCGAGTGCACGTATATAATATACTTTGGGCACTCGATTGTTTTTGAAGAATAGCTAATTATCGGGCGGGCGAACGGGAAAAAAAAAACGAGCCACTGTTCTCAGCCTTGGATATGGATACTTTTTCTAAAAATCTTGAGCATCGATTGTGATGGAAAGGTTTTTTTTTTTTTTTTTTAAATCACATTGTATTAGGCAAAAAACAAATTGCGACAAAAAACAATAGATAAAATCGGTTAGATCGGTATGTGTTTAGTGTTTAGAAATGATAGCGCCACACCCACCGTTTGCGGAAGTACTGATGAGTAAACATCTTGTCGTTTATGTGGGCGATTTTCAGAAAAATTAACTAGCGACAACAGACCTTTAGCCATATGTATGTATACGACATTCAAACGAATACTGTTTGTACATATGCTGCACCGATCGACCCTCTCACTCGACGACCATAACATTTATATCCCACGAAATCCCGTGACCCCAAAAAAGCCCACAAGGTTACAGCGCACACATACATACACGAGTAAGGCTCGGCGAGTGAGCTTCTCGTAAAAATTTGATTCGACAAACAGATTGAGGCATTCAAGTTTCCCCCCCCCCCTTCCGCCAAATACAATGATACCCGTGATTTCACACGCTGACGAATTGCAAAATAACAAAAATAAAAAAAAAAACCCTCGCTTGGCAAAATAAATATTCGTTCGGAAAATCCGGAACTGCTGTCGATTCCGTGCAGATGAGCGATTTCGGAGCAATATCTTATCGCTCGGAAAAGTTATTAAGAGTATAATTCGATATCGTTATCGCGTACAATTTTTTTACCACACCCCCCCCCTTTATTACTATAGATAAATGTATACGTGAACACACCCACGTGAGGCTCAGAGTAAAAAACAAAGAGAAAGACATAGCGTTCGAAACAAATCGGGCTTAATTGTTTCCCCCAAAAAAAGCCACGAGCAATTATTATTTTCAAAGTGTATATGTATGCAATACACCTACAACACGTATTGTGCAGTTGTGCACATGGTCAAGGTGACGGGGGGAGGGGATCTGGAAAAATTTATAGCACCATTACCCGCGTACATACATATACACGTTCCTCCGCTCCTCGAGGACGCTCGTTTCTTACATGCGTTGCACGTGTGCGTCCGAGCGTGTGATATTTGTATCTCCGAGGGAGATGGACACGACAATGGCTTTTACCCGCTGTGGGTGCACGGGTATGAAATAATATATGTATATACGAGGGGTACTCTTAAGCTTAAAGGTCACGGGGAGTTGATTTGGACGTAGCGTCCATTGGGCGCGTTAATTGTCGAGGGAAACGCAAGAAGAAGAAAAATGTACGGGTGTATATGGAGTTTATCTCAAAGTCACGTCTGAAAGATGCCCTTGTAATTTACTTATTTTTGCGTTAAAGTGAAATTTGAGGGAAATAAAAAACAGATAATCTTATGGTGACCAGTATGACACGAGGTATCTACAACTTATGTAAATCGTGGAATGTAAAAAAATGATACCCGCAAGCCTTGCGCTGTACAAAAAATTTTCAAACTTTCGTGCGTTTACTAAATATTGTATATGTATACTTTCACGTGTACTCACGCATATTGCATTGTTACATAATAAGCTGACGTAGATATGGTTTGTTTCGTTGTGTTGGAATGATGTGGTTTATTGTAACAATGAATCATTAAAAAAAAAAAAAAAAATTTTTTTCTGAAATGAGAAAGTTTGATAGAATATTTGTCAATTCATTTGAGGAGTATGCGTGTTTTCAGGCGTTAAAACGGCTGTCACTTGATAATCTACTTATGAAACGCAATTCTCACTTTTATACATGATTTTGGTGCGTTAAATAATTACGGCTAAGTATTGGAGTTTTCGAAGAATTTAAGTTAATGTCCACTAACTGAAACTTAGTGCCGAAGAAGCTATTCCATTTTTAGAATGTAATATACATATACCAGAGGTTCACTGTATAAAATCACAAAAATTATTTTAACAAAGTGTTTAAATCAGTCGTAATTTATACTCTTGCAACTAGATATGTAAAAATCCCGTGACATCACACACTATTACAAAACAGTGATTTTAGTTTCAATTTTTTTTCCTATCCCTGAAATAATAACTCAAGCACCATTGTTCTTCTTATTACTTATTGTTACTATGATTAATTTTTTTTTTTTTTTTTTTTGATGAGCAAATTGTACACCACTGCTTCACTATCGTCAATATTTAAAAGCACATTGTATTCGGCGATGCGAGAAAAGTGCAGTATGTAGTGTATATTATGTGTATGGACACGGGGATTACTCACGCGACTGATTCCCAAAGCTGGTGTCGCTCTTGATACGCGTGTGTATGTGTGTGCTTATGGAGCATTGGCTATTGGAAACTTTTGTTTCTTCAAAAAAAGAAAAAAAAAAAAAAAAAAAAAAAGACACGACGAGTTTCAAAGTGGAAAAATAAACTTTGCACTCTCGAAGCTTACATATTTACGAGCACTTGCGCTCCGCAGAGAGCACCGCTTTTGGAGTTGATGGACGGCTGTTTTTCTTATCGGGCACTCGATTTTCCTCGGAACGCCCGTAAGTTATCGGGTCCTTTTCATTTCTTTTTTAAACGAGAGATGTTTATACATTGTCTCCTTTCTCATCTTTAATCTCCCGCTCAAGGAAACACCTCGAAACTGTTGGATTTTGCACGAAAACAAAAAAAAATCGACAACAACGCAGCGTTATGAATGAATAAATTATTCGTAGCACTCGTTAATAATAAACATGGATCAGAGGAAGCGTCGCGTCGTTGAAAAATAACAAAAAAAAAAAAAAAATCCTTGCCATGGCTATACATCGAGTCTAATTTTCCGCGACGACAAAGAAAAAACAAACTTATTACGTGCTCGCGAAAATCCGCTCGACCTGCAACACATCCTTGTTCCTCGAACAATATCGTCCATCCAAGGTTACAAGCCATCAGAGATCGGTAGAGCATGAAAAACATATATGTGCACGTACCTATAATAATATCAGCATGTAGTCTTTATTATGCTAATGACTAAGTGCAGTTGGTCCACGCATACACACGTGTGTATAATACATTCGCGCGCGTGTGTGTGTGGATACGAAGACAGAACCGAGCGATCGGCAAGCCGCGAAAGGAATCGACGCGCGTGCGACTATGCGTCGTCGTCGTCGGCGCGCGCGTGTCTCTCTTTGGGTGCAGTAGTCGGTCGAGCGGCGCAATTAGAAAATTACTCACAATCGCTATGCAATGTGCAACACCTATGCGCGTACCACTCATGGCGAATATGTTTTTTCCAATTGTTTGCGCAAGCCGCACGGAGATGGATAGTCTGTCCTTTTCTCTTTCTTTTCTTCAAAGTCCGATCACGACTTTGGGAGTTACGTGTACACGTACCTGCCCTCGGTACTTCCCAAGATTCCGCGAGTTTCTCGAGGTTTTGCGCTTTTTTTTTTCCTGCGATCAACCACCGATTTTTCTATACTCGTGCCATACCGATCTCGTCCCTTCGGACGGAACTCCGCGATCGGCTCCTGAATACGCACTGTCACTTTCATAATAATCATCATCAAAGTACTTGTGTATAAAACACCATAGTCTAAAATAAGCGACACCTCGTTAGCCTCTTGAAGTTTTCTCGGTCGCACCCGAGCATTTATAAATATATTTATCCGTTGGTGCAGGTATTCCCCGAACTTGTTACTTCAATTTGCAATGTACCGAAGAGACACTCGCACGCTGCAATAATAATAATGATAATAATATGTACCTATTTAAAATTTGCGAATCAAGCAGCAGTGTATAGTGCTCCGTGAAATGTATGTAATTACAGGGGCTCGTTTCCAAGAAAATTCATTACGAGCGTCGCTCTTGTCCGCCGTCATTTTTTTACGCCCGAGGAGTTATGGTTCAACGAGAAACCCCCGCCCCCTCCTCCATTTACTTCCCTCCCCTTTTGTTCAACGAGAACAAGCAAAAGAAAAACTACATGTAGACCGTTAGAGATCGGATCTGAGTTCCCGAAGTACCGATTCTTGAGTATAGTGTATCTACGGAGGGAAAAAAGAATGGGTCTGTGACGAATGTAATTGCACAACAAATACTTTCGGCAAGTCCTGGTGAGCGCAACTTTTTAAAAACCGATTTCGGCGAGTCGCGCGAGCGTGTGTTTAAAAAAAAAAAAAAAAAAAAAAAAAGAAATAACCTTCCGTGCCATATGGTCCGCTGCCTGCGGAGGAGATCCAGAAAACACACACTCTGCCGACAGACGTGCAAGCGCGCTTTACACGCGTGTAAAAGAACGACCTCAGCGGCAGCGCAGAGAGAATAAGTTTTCAGGTCAGAAGCTGCTGTAGCAGCCGGTCCCTCTCTCTCCCTCCTTTCCCTCGTCTCTCAAGGTGCAACGCACGCTTCTTCTTCTCCTTCCTTTTTTTTCCCCCTCCCATATACGCTCGAGCTTCCATGTATATTGGCGAGCGCAGCTGTCGAAAATGTGTATTTTTTGTTTTTTTTTTTTGTTTTTTCGGCAAAAATTTCGCCGATTGCGCCCACGGAGGGCGAAACATCGGCAAGTCAAGCCTTTCTGATGATACTAAACGGGCAACGAGTCGGTTGTATAGCCGTGCGTATATATGAGAATAAAACTCGTGCAACAACACCAATAATACATAACAGCATCGGAGAGAGGTAAGCGTAGCAGCTCTATAGCTTGCACTTCCTCGTCTCTCTCGCGTGCTTATGATATGCCCCGACGACGACGGCAACAAGTGGCTCCTCTCTTGGCTTTATAGGTATACACGTTCCACTTTGGCTTCTATTATATGGCAGGATATCCCTGTGAACACGTGAAGTACACCACTTTTTAAGCGAAAAGACAGGGGTGTGGATATGATAGATGAAAGAGAGAAAAATCTGTTGAAAATCGGTTGATGGTCCGTTTGGCGTATATGTATGGGTATCGCGAGGCACTTGACACCAAAGTCAAGAGAGAGATGGGAAAAAAAAGGAGAGAAAAATTATATATATAATTCGAGAGCAGCAGCATCTGAGAGAAAGAGATGGAGAAAGGCGAGAGAGAGAGAGAGAGAGATACACTGCGGGCATCATATATATGTATATATTATAAGAGGCGACCGGTTGCACATGGGGAGTCGATGGTTGTACATGATGGGGCATGGGGCGCGAGAGAGCGAGTTTATATAAGTATACACAGCAACGAGAGACTTTCACGGCGAAACTATATACCTAACCGAGAGCCGATCTTGCCTCTGTGTGTGTCCATGAATGCTCCTTCTTTCTTTCTTTCTCGCTCTCTCGGTCTTCTTGCGACGTCCTCTGCGGAGAGCGGCAAACTAGAGGTACACCATCAGCGGAGCGTGGCAGTGGCTCCGGGACGAGAGTAAGAGACGCACGAATCGTTGCAGCCATAAGCCATCTCTGCCGTCAGTAGCCGCGCGATAATAATAACAATAATAATCGGTACTTTACTCTCGCTAGCGAGTCTCGCGTGGACCACGGGATTCTGTGTTTATGCTCTTCTGTGTGTGCGTGCGTGTGTACATAAGAGTATAAAAAAAAAAAAAAAAAAAAAATAAAGAAAGTATCGAGATCGTTATCGTTTCTTTTTGTATTCATAATATTGTATACCTGTTTGGTTTTTCACGCAAACAGTTTGAACGAAACAATAGATAAGTCGATACTACTCGATAAGCGAAAAATCGTTAAACTTACGGTGGTGGATTATCATGACCGTATAAGTACTGGACCAAGTGAAAAAAAAAAAAAAAAAAAAATCAATTCATCAGCGGATAAGACTGTGGCGGTTGTACCTCTTATACCCACGGAAGAGGAGATGAGCGTCCGCGAGTTCATGCGCTTTTGATTATCCAAGACGTTTATGTAGGTATACTCACATATACGGAGTGAGTGCAATGCACACTATTATCACGCGGTATACATACGCTAACGCTTGGGTATGCATACATCTTGTGCCTGATGCGCATGGGGTTTTATTAGGGTAACAACTAGTGTATGTATAGGTATACATCATATAAGAAGCGAGTGAAGTACAGTAGCCGAGTAAACGGCCTCCTTTCGCCGCTCTCTCTCTCTCGCGTGAGTCTCTGCACTACTTACTTACTTATTGCATTCGAACATAATAATACATCAGGCACTGCGGTGCTCTGATAAACTCGCGTAGGTCGGAAATTCGCGAAAAGAGGGTTTAAGGAAGAAAAGTGCCTGTTTCGTTTCTCGACCGTACCTATTTTGTCACCGTAACAAAGAGCCAAAAGGGGTGTGATTGTGATGTATAGATACGAGAAAAAATTTTTTTTTTAACTCACCCTTAGGGGAGGGTGGTGGTTGCATGCTACAGTTCGGTAGCGAGCGAGCGGTGCTTTTATGGAATTTTACGAGGGATTATTAACATATGTTTTACTTTGTAAATGTGTATATACATTAGTATGCGTATAACATGTGTTTGTAACGGTTGACTGTATTTGATATATATATACATCATGGCACGGTGTGCGATGGTGCAACGGTCGTTTGATTGAATCGTCGTGTCGTGTGCGTGGATCTTTAAAAATTGGTGAATTGTACTCAAATGTTTTTTTGATCGATCGTTATTGTGGAGATGGCAGTAGTGTCATTTGATGCGAATCTATATCATTATTGTGGTCACGTGTATTGTTGAAAACAATATCACCGTAAAGCCAGTGTCTGCAGAGTTTTAAGTAAGGCTGTATTATGATTTTGTATGTTTATCGCCATAAGGTAAAAAATTTAATTGCAACTGAGGTGCAATGAGAAAAAATTGTTTTTTTCCACTCTAGAAACCTGTATTTAATGCTCTAATGACAACTGAGATAATTTTTAACCCAAAAAATTTCATACAAACGGGTTGGGTATACTTTTCAACAATTTTTCGGCCAATAAAACTTTGTTTTTGTAGTTCATAACGGTGGAATGTATCGTAGAGATAGTTTTAGTTTGCGGAGTATAATAGCAAAGATTTTCTATTTTTCCCTGTTGGATACAAACATATGATTTGTCACCCTTCATAAAACCTTTCCGATTTCAAACCGTAAATCATCAAGGATGAACTATAATTTGTACAATTTTATGCAGATAACTTGAGTTTGTTCGGAAACTTGATAATGCAAAAATGGTCTCAATTAAAAATCAAATTATTTTCACGCCTCCCCCTCTTTAATTCACGCACATTTTTTTTACATAACGTAGCTTCTATAGAAATCAGAGTAGTGCCAAAAAGTAAACAATCAAACGATCCGTCGAGTGGTTCATTATTGCCAACGATGCTGTTATTTTATTCAAGAGTGTTTTTCTTTCATAAAAATATAAAAAGCGATTGAAATTTTCTTGCGGTGCACCTAGACTGTTAGTCTGTATTCTTGAAAAAATAGCAACAATCGACCACTATTTTTTTTTTCCACGCACTGCACGTGTAAATGTCGGAAAAAAAGAAAAAGAAAAATCAAGTCCGACCATGAACAGTTTTAATCGTCGCGCTCCAGATTACATTAACAGCTCGAGAAGAAGACAAAGTGAGAGCTAGATTTGGAACCCCATCCATCGCACAATATACGCGTAACTACGACAACTGCGTCGGGAAGAACGTGACTCTGTACCGCACATTTTATTTTTTTTTCTTCAATCGAGCATCTTTTCTAAAAGCTTTTTTACCATGATATAATGTCGACCATCATCTGTATGGGCACAGTGCGAAAGGGAACGAGGTGCGAGACGCGCTCGAGAGCGCGTGCTTGCGTATAAATAAGCGCGTGGGTGGTGTGACGCGACGTCTGTAGGCTTTTAGTTTCGTCGGCTGTCGTTTTTTTTTTTTTTTTCCACTAAGCACTGCCGAATACATATCATTTTTAATGGGCTCATGGTGCCAATAATGCCCTCGCGTTGGAACGAAACGAGTGTGACTTGGCTTGATTTTACCCATCTTATTGAAGTACACATTTTTAATATATCAGAACACGCGGTTGTCACAATCGACCATCCCTACCCCGAGCGAATCAACGAGACGCAAACCTTGACACCCCGCGAGGACAAACAAACCATTCCTCTATATATATGCATATTTGCGCTTGATTTGGGTCATCGACCGCACTTTGGCGCGATCAAAACAGTAAAATCTCAATTCCCACTCGTTCACGTGCTCCCAACCGTTTGTCAAAACCTTTGTAAAAAGTATACGCCTCGTTACATCTAACCGAGTTTATGTATTTTTCCGTTTGTGCAGAAGCAACGGCTGAAATCAACGGTGCCAAGGAGACGAGCACCAGCCACTGACCCTCGGCCGGCGCCAGGGTTAATGAGCCCCTTGTCCGTCACCAGCGAGGATACCATTACTGCCTACCAGTGACCATGATGAAGTTCAAATCCCTCTTCCGCCGAGGACAGCAGAGCCACTCGTCCCACCAGAAACAACAGCGCAGCCAAAAGTCGTCCAATCCGCAACAGCAGGTAGCCGCGCCTCAGATACAACCTGCCGCGACCACCGCCGTTGTCCCCGAGGGCAACAAGCCCAGGAGATCGAGCAACGACAGGCTCTCCTCGTCCTCGACCTCGCTCACTTACTACGATGCCAGGAGCAACGGGCCCCAGACCGGCGCTTCAGCGGCTGGAAAAAACCCGGCAGCCGTACAGGTATGCCACACATTACTGCCACATATGTATATATACTTACACTTGACATGAATTCGCTGGGTCGTAGGGTTCGAACTCGTCGGGTGCGACGACCGCGGGTGGTTGGAGGCAATCGGCAGTCATCCCGTCGGACTACTTGGCTCGGATGCAGGAGCTGGAGCTCGAAAACGAGGCCCTCAGGATGGAGAGGGCGAGACTCGAGGCCGGGTACAGGAACGCGGCCAATTGCGTGGAGAGCCGACGATTCGAGGAACAGCTCGCCGAGATCGCCCATCTGAAGGTTCGACTCTCTCTCTCTCTCTTTTTGTTCGTACCGGATAAATGACGTCTTTGGGCCCCATTTTTCATCCGACGATGTGTGATGATGTGAGCTGTGTGATCTGGGAGTGCAAAAATATTTTGTTGGGAGATCACGAGAATACAAATTAATTCAAATGAAAACTATGTTTGAAGACATATTATCTCTGTTGCAAGTGCGTCAAAGATAAGATTGGTCATTGGTTGCATCGTAGAGGACAGGTGTACACCAAAGTGTCGAAATGTTTCAATGCCGTGCATACACTGTAAATCCAAGTAATTGTCACTTGAAGCGTTTGCTTCGGAAGCGCCCATGCGAGTTTCATTTGCGACGCTTGAAATGTGTTTGAATTAAATGTCTGGCCGTTTTAAACTGTAGGTCAATGCTTTGCATACTCGAAGTTATCAATTTTAACGTTTTAGTACTTCATAAGTGAACAGACGGAAGTGTTTCAAATCTGTAACGGATAATAAAAGATCTGAGTACAGTTCTGTTTTGAAACACTTGGATTTACAGTGTTTTTCTTTCATCCACACGACCAACAAGTGGAGGATGACCTTTTCATATGAGTTTTATTTCTTGTCTGTGTTATCTTTGCTACAATTATTTTCATACTTGGGTACGTTTAAAATTTATTGTTAGAAATGTAATGCTTTAATTATGCTACAGTAACTTTTTTCAATTACTACGTACAACACAATAATTCATACTTTTTTTTTACAGAAATAACGATGCATTACAATTTATAAGAAAAAAATTGTTTGGAAAAAATGATGGAAAACTATTTGAAAAAATGTTAAAATATTTGAGTTCACATACATTGTGAAATAAATTTTAATTTACACAATGCATTACACTTATATATGTTATAAAAAATTTGTCTCTAAATTTTTAACTGCGAGTAGTGACGAATGAAAAATTTCTTCAGCATAAAAAATGCACTTGAACTAAAAAAAAAATGTTTGTATAAGTTTTTTAACATTCCATAAAATAATTGTGCCCAAGTCATGAATCTATTGTTCAGTTGCACATGGACGAGAAAAGAAGGACCAATCTCAACGAATATACCTATCATAAAATAATTCCAACTGTTTGACACTCTTAACTTGTTTCAAAGATACAATTACACGAGAATTAAATTTCCAAAGCCTTTATAATTATCTGCAAGGAAAAAAAATTCTTTCAAGCGCACATAAATTCAAAGCAAAGTGCCTGATCGAAACAGTTATACCAGATGCTAATATTGATACCGCAATACTTAACGATCTTTAATCGAAATTCTCCTCGTGATTCCAACAAAAAACAAACAAACAAAAAACTCAACTTCGATCCCACCGAGAGTACGTTCCAATTAAATTTTGTAAATTATCGGAGCGAAATCGTAAAAAAAAAAAAAAAAAAACCACCAGCCGTAATAAAATTGACTCGTTTCCACTCGCCGCAGTGTTGTACAAAGCGAGAGAGCTCACCCGAACAATTCGTGAGTACAGTTATATACCTTTGCGCGATAAAATCCTATTTTCGCGGTAAGCCCACAGGCCCCGCAAATAATATATCCCTCGCGTCCATTATTTCTTGTTTTTCCGTTCGTTTATATTTCTCATAGAGCCCATAAATTTTACACCCCAGCCCTACACGTGCCCCTTGCACTTGTACAATATATATGTATCGTCACGCCAAAGTGCACAGCAATAAAAAAACAAAATAAATAAATAAAAAAATATTACCACGAAGCAAAAATCCCCAGTGAAAGACCAGTTAAAAAAACGCCGTAGTGTAAATAGTATTAGTACAGCCCTACTTTTAATGACCATACCGATTTATTTTCTTTCTTTTTTTTTCCGTTTCAAGAGCCACGAAGACACGACACCTCAACGTCTCCGTTGTTTATTTCCTCGAGTCGTTCCTATTGTTCTTTTTCGAAGCGCGGTACGATTATATCATACGGCGAAGCGTGCAATGATAATATACACTCACTTGAAAATAGTAGTTATTATCATTTTGAGGAAGCTCGACGTGCTGTTGGGTGCGAAAATTTTTCGCGCTAACGTGTGTTGCATAAACGGTCGCGATAGTGTGCGCTTGGGCTAGTTGTATATAACGGTGATTACGCGAGATCGCGGTAATTGTTTCGAATAATATGTTCATGGGGTTTTGTTTTTAATTTTTCTTTTTTTTTTTTTTTCTAAGTACTTGTCTGTATAGGTGACTCGGGGCTATTGTGAGAAAACTTTTTTTTGTTGAATTAACGGTATCGACTATTTTGAGCATATTATATATCCGAATCGACTCGCATGTGGTTGTTTTCGCGAGTACAGTATTGTGGGATAGGCGATGATGATAATGATGATGATGGTTCACCGGAAAATTCTCTATAAATAAGCGTATACTTGTATCGAGAAACTTGGAGATTATACTGAAATCGTGAGAAGGGAAATTTGGTTGAAAATGATTAAGAAATTTGAATTAAAAATTGATGTTCTGCATCTTATTCTAATAATGATTTGAAAAAATTTTGATTTCTCAAAGAAAAAGCGTTTTGTTAAATCTACATGTTCAAACGTGCCATTTTTTTTTTTTTTT